AAAACCAAAAATCCAGAAATTTCAAAAAAGTCACTGATCCCGGAATCCAATTCTCAACAGATTTGAGTACTGTAATCAAAAGCGTGTTTGTCTCCAATCGAATCGAAAACCAAGCGTTCAGACAAAACATGTTCTGTTATGAAAATCAATTAGCTCTACTGTGCAATTCTTTTTTTTGTTTCGATATCATGTCTTTTGCAAAGCCAGCTCCTTTGAAAAAATTAAATTTCAAGGATCAGCATTTTTCTTAATGTCTAGGTTTTTTATGACAAAAAAAACTTACAGTTAACAAATCTAGCTGCAGAATTCTATAAAAAGAATATTTAAACTTTTTAGACTTGCCAAATAATATAAACAAAAATGCCATGAATAAAATGATCGGTAAACAGTAACAGTATTGGAACAATAACCAACCAAAATTTCTATTGGTCCTTTCCAGTTCCAGATTGCTTATCCGGATGTCGGACATTCTTACTTGGAGAATATAAATTGAGACTGAAAAACTTAAATTTATATTGTGTACTCTGAGCGGGAATATGCATTACGTCTAATTGTTATATTTGGAAATGTGGTTTGTTTAAATGTCTTGTTATTTCTATATACTTCCTAGAAGCAGATGTGGCATGAGTAGCAATTTAGGTACAGCTTGTTCTAAAATTTTTGATATAATGAGTGAAAAAATTTATATTTAGCAAATTTGGAATTCAAACAAAGTGCGATCAATCATTCTGAATTGAAATAGTTTTGAAATTCTTCATTTTCTAGGAGTCTATTTTTAGATTTTTAGATATTCTTCACGTTAACTGAATTTTCCATTTAAGAATGACAAACCTTTTCATAGTATTACTCATCAACTCCAAATTTTCTTTGTTTTGATTTCCAAAACGTTCCTCTCATTGTCTGCTGTACTTTCTTTGTCCTATTCTCCCTCTGCGTTTATTCCAAAAAATACTCTCTCGTGCCCGACGCTGACCTCGATTGAGGTCGGTACATAGAAATGCATACGAGGAGAAATTTCCCCATTGTCTTCGGGTTTTGATATCTCATAATAACTCCAATTTTTGGAACCGCCTCACCGGGGAAACCTGGCGGAGGCAAATGACTCGAATTATGAAAGAAAGCGTTTTCTGAATGTGAGATTTATGTGAGGATTGAAACTACAGTGCTCCACAAAATGATGATTCCACCCTTCGCTTGCACTGAAACACCTATTTAGGTCAATGTTTGTGAAAAGGTGTCAACATGAAAAATAAAGGTCTCCCTTCAAAACCTACGTACAAAAAGTTTGGAGCCATCAGCGTGACCCGGAAACGAGAAACCGGAAAAATTCCAAAAATCACGTTTTGGCCAATCCACAAAATGATGCTTCCACTCTGAAAAAATGAGATTTTGGAGGTTTTTGAGCTCTTCTTGACGAGCAAGAATTTCAGGAAGTTTCCAGGTGGTTACGAGAGTTTCTGACATTCTTAGGGATTCTGAATCACGTTGAAATTTTGATAGATTCACCAGGATTATGAGAGACTGCCCGGACTCCGCTCTGACTACCACGACCATCGAAAAGATTATCGTTTATGAATACGAATCACCGATTTCTGTTTTTTCTCCAAAAAGTCAAAATTCTGCGACGAAGAGTCGTCAGTCAAATCCGTTCATCTTCTTGGAAACGAATTTCAGTTTGATCGGTCCTTCCGATAAATTTTCCGCTCATATCATCACGTCTTCTCTTTTGAAATTTTTTCTGGACAGTCGTGGTAGTCAAATCGAAGTCCGGGACAGTCTCTCAGAATCCTGGAGAATCTTTCGAAATCCCAAGTTGTTTCAGAATCCCTCAGAATCTCAGAAACTCTCATAACCTCCTGGAAACTTCCTGAAATTCTTGCTCGTCAAGAGAACTTGAAAATCAGATTATCTGGACATTTGAATTCATTCAAAAAGCTGATCCGGAAAACCGGTATCGGAAATCCGGATTCCGGAATACAGAATCCGGAGTGCATATTCCAAAAACCAGTACACTCAATCCAGTACACATAATCCAGAAACTAAAAACCGTGATCCGAAATTTTGGATCCGGAAATTCGGATTCCGGAATCCGGAAATAAGGAAATCCGACATCCGGAGTACGGTATTCAGTAAACCTGCATTAGGATCTCAGTGTACGGAGATCAGAATCTCAAAATTCTTTAAATTCAGACCTTCAAAAGGTAGCCGCAGAGCTCAAAAACCTCCAAAATCTCATTTTTTGAGAGTGGAAGCATCATTTTGTGGAGCACTGTAGTTTCAATCCCCACATAAATCTCACATTCAGAAAACGCTTTCTTTCATAATTCGAGTCATTTTGCCTCCGCCAGGTTTCCCCGGTGAGGCGGTTCCAAAAATTGGAGTTATTATGAGATATCAAAACCCGAAGACAAAGTACAGCAGACAATGAGAGGAACGTTTTGGAAATCAAAACAAATAAAATTTGGAGTTGATGAGTAATACTATGAAAAAGTTTGTCATTCTTAAATGGAAAATTCAGTTAACGTGAAGAATATCTAAAAATCTAAAAATAGACTCCTAGAAAATGAAGAATTTAAAAACTATTTCAATTCAGAATGATTGATCGCACTTTGTTTGAATTCCAAATTTGCTAAATATAAATTTTTTCACTCATTATATCAAAAATTTTAGAACAAGCTGTACCTAAATTGCTACTCATGCCACATGTGCTTCTAGGAAGTATATAGAAATAACAAGACATTTAAACAAACCACATTTCCAAATATAACAATTAGACGTAATGCATATTCCCGCTCAGAGTACACAATATAAATTTAAGTTTTTCAGTCTCAATTTATATTCTCCAAGTAAGAATGTCCGACATCCGGATAAGCAATCTGGAACTGGAAAGGACCAATAGAAATTTTGGTTGGTTATTGTTCCAATACTGTTACTGTTTACCGATCATTTTATTCATGGCATTTTTGTTTATATTATTTGGCAAGTTAAAAAGTTTAAATATTCTTTTTATAGAATTCTGCAGCTAGATTTGTTAACTGTAAGTTTTTTTTGTCATAAAAAACCTAGACATTAAGAAAAATGCTGATCCTTGAAATTTAATTTTTTCAAAGGAGCTGGCTTTGCAAAAGACATGATATCGAAACAAAAAAAAGAATTGCACAGTAGAGCTAATTGATTTTCATAACAGAACATGTTTTGTCTGAACGCTTGGTTTTCGATTCGATTGGAGACAAACACGCTTTTGATTACAGTACTCAAATCTGTTGAGAATTGGATTCCGGGATCAGTGACTTTTTTGAAATTTCTGGATTTTTGGTTTTTTCACATGCAGTTTTCACGGAATTTTCAATGAGCTTGCACAGGCTTCTCGCTATTTCTCCAGTTGCCCAGTTCATTAGCAAAACTCAAAAATCGAAGGTATCATCTACACAATACATGTACCTTTAATAATTGATTCCAGATTTGGTCTCGCTAGTATGTTGCATGTGGATTGCTTCTATGTATCATTAGTACTTTTTTGGTGTGAAGAATTGAAACAGTGCAAGAGTCTGAATTTAAATAATTATGACATTACAGTGCGGTCAATATCTATACGACACCCTGGAAAATGAAAAATCTCAAGTATTTTAGAGAGCGAAATTGAACTTTTTTTGGTTGGGAACTACTAAAATAGTCTTAAAACAACATATTTTGACGATCTATACAAAACCCGATTCCTCCAATGAAGTTTTAGAAACAATTATTTTCCGTCATTTTCGTCATTTTTTGGGTTTTTTGAATAAATATTGAATAACTTGGCTTCTGGGTAAGATTTCGAGCTGAAAATGATAGGAATTACTTTTGCAATAGTCTAAATTATGTATCAACTGTTGTTATGCTATTCTGAGCCGTTGTTTGTGATTGAAGCTGAACTGAAATTTGAAAAATGCATTTTGAAATTCGGAGATTCTGATTTTTGTAAAAACTTGATTTACCCGATTGAAATTTAATTTTTAGCACAAAATAACAATTTTCATAGCAACTTCAACCACTTAGAGCAACTTTGAAACATTTCAGACAGCTTTGAAAATTTTTCAATTGAGTACATTTTTTCTGTTCAAAACTCGAGCTCAATATTAAATTTCCAAAGCTCAAAAAAGCCTTGAACACTGGCATCATGGTCACTATCATTTCTTAATAATTTCCTATCTTTTTCAGCTTGAAATCTTACCCAGGAGCCAAGTTATTCAAGATTTAGTCCAAAAACCCAAAAAATGGCTTAATTTAAAAATATTATAAGCAGCATATTCCAAGGATCCTCTTGAATTCGTTAGGGTTTCTAGGACATTTTGCTCGACATGGTCTCGGTTTAGGTTTACATACGCAACGTGCGCCTCCTCCATCCAGTTGTTAGCTAGCCTCTCCATGCGACCCTTTGTATTCGTTCTGTATCACCTTCCCTCCCCGTCTCCTTTGGACGACAGTCGTTTTCCTGCCATCTCCTCCCCACTCCTCTACGCTCACACACAGAACAATGATTCTGAGTGAGAGCGTCTTATTCAAAACGATGTGTATTAGCCAGAAATCAATCATCCCCCCAAAGACGCACCGTCTCTCGCTATTTCGCTCTTCGCTCTCTTCTCACCATTCGCTCTCTTCTTTCCTTCTCTATTTCGCCACCAAATCTATGTTCAAATCGAGCAGAAGGCGAGGGACTGTGTGAGAGTCAGCCTCCTCTCATTCTTTTTTCTGTAAACTAAGCTTTTTACTAAAAAGAAAAACAGTGCGTGAAAAACTATTGAATTTCGTACACAATTTTCTTGTTTCACTTTTGAAAAATCACTTTTGAGCAAAATTTTTCTATTTTTTTAAGAGTTAGAATTCAAGATTCCTTGACACTTTATCGAAAAAATCTTTCTACAATAGACTTTTTTCGGCTAACCCCTTTTATCGCTTTGTTTTATCGTTCTGTTTTTCAATACGAAAAATATATATTTTCCAGAAAAACGGAACACTGAATTATGTCCTCACAACAAAACGGTACGCCAAAAATCGAAGCAGAAGCCCAAGATCTCAATTCTGGAATTCAATCACAAACCAAAATTTGGAGAACCAGAATTCCGGAACCTCTGCCACTGGAAAAATATCCAGTTTTCCGCCTCCCTGCCGTCCTTGAGGAGGTTATCAAGAAAGACTTCTTGGACCGCCAAAATAACTGCAATTCTGAATTGCCAGTCGAGTTCAAATCCATTACGGATATAATCACAACCGTATGTTTTCATAGTTCGATAGATTTTATAGTTCGATAGAGTAATTGTTCGACTTTCAATACTTACTACCATACAGAAACTGCTGTTAATTGAAGTTTTCAGTTCAAATTGGAGTTCGAAGATTATGATTCGAAAGTTATGGAATCCAACGACTACTCCAATGGGAGAAACAAAGAAGAACGTCAAGTAGTAGTTGGACAGACATTGGCTTTCCTTTGCGATTTATTCAATCCATTCTACAAGTAAGTTTTTTTGTGTGTATGTTTGTCCGTCTATATCGGACTTTCACCTGAATACCGAGCGCTTAATGTTTATGGTTCCCTGAGCTTCTCAGCTCATGGGTTGCTCGTAGAGCAGAAAATCAAAGTTTCCAAAATTTTGACAAAAATCTAACTGAGTTCGCAATGTAACAGAAAAATCGGTCAAAAGCAGTAAGAAACCAAAAAAAACATATTTTGAAAACAGAAGCATTTTAAGGTTACGAGGTGCTGACAACGGCCACCACCGTTTCTCTTCCAGATCTCCAAACTTTAGTACCAATTTGATAACTCCAAAAATACTTTTGAATGCAGAAAAGAGTGCCTAATCTAATTTTTCTGATCCGTCTTGTGAGATCATCCTTCTGTTGTTTTTATAATGTCAATACTGCATTTAATGACACTTGCAATACAATATATTTTTCAGGCAATTGCTCTACAAAACTGAATGGAAGAATGCTCAAAAACAAGCAACGAATTTTGCAAGACAACAGAAAAAGAGAAAAATCGAGGATCCAGGCTATGTCATTGTCGAGTTCAAGGCCACTGAGCACTATGGTTTCATTCATCTTCTCCGTCTTTTTACAAAACTTCCAAACTTGATATACGGATGCCGTTCCGGAACCGTCTGGACGTATAACGGTTTAAAGGTGAATTGAATTAGAAAATCGAATGTGCTCAACCAAAAACTATCTAAAACAAACTTCGGATGATAATATACAAATGATTTTAGAACATCTTCAACAGCCTGACCCCATTTATTCAATTTCTTGTCGAGAATAAAGATGTCTTTCAAAGAGCAGTTAACAAAAACCCGGCATTCAACAGTGGAGACAACGATGATGGTGACATGGTGCCGAAACCGAAGAAGTCTCGCCTAGAAAATTATGAGAACGGAGTGAATCTTGACGGAGCGCCTTCAAAAATCACTAAGAGCGATAAGGATGATTTCCAACAGCCAAACATGAGATTGAGCAGAAAAAAAAGAATAGCTGCGGAGTAGACCGCCAATTCAGAATCCAAAACTGAAAAACTAAAGTTGTTCCTTTCTGTATTTTCATTTATTCTTCCATAATCACCAATCCCCTAGCAAAATTTTCTAACTATAAGTCTCAATTTTTTAAATCAATTTTAAACGATATTCTTCTTTCTAACCATAACCTCTTTTTTCATACGTTTTTTTTGCATCCCCAATTTGTCGAATGGATAAAAATACTGATTTAATTAAAAGAGCTGTTTGATTATTTTGAGGAAGTCAAGTTTTGAACGATTTCACAAAAAAAAAATCAGAAGCACTACCAACATGAAAATTTTTGAAAAGTTGATTTTTGGGAGTTTTCACATCTTAATTTAGGCATAATTTTTCCAGTTCCCAGGCTTGAACTGTACGAAGAAATTGTCAATCACAAAAATAAAGATCTATTATTGTTTTCCGAAAAAAAAATGTAAAAAGAAACTCGAGAACGTCCAATTCAGAAAGGGCCATCCAAGATATTTTTCGATAATTTTTTTTGAAGAAAATTCAGGAAATTTCTTGGAATTTTTTCTCAATAAAGACACAAAACCACATACTTGAGAAAAATTATTTTTGAAACCTAACAACTTCGGTTTCTCCCCGTTGAAACAAATACTCCCGCAAAACCGAAAAGAGAAGAGGTCATGAACAAGACAAAGTCTGCAAACACAGTGACGAGAAGTTGCGGATAGCTAATATTTTATCAACTTTTTTTTTCAAAATCTGTTAGTATTAAACAAATGAAAAATGTCTGAAATTCTAGAGGGAAAAATGAATTTGTAGCGATAAGTTGAAAACTAAGGGGAAAAAAGTAGTTTCTGAAAAATGCGAAGATTGGGAAGAAATATGAAATTCAGATTCCACGTCATGAAATACATCAGATTTGGTTTTAAGAAAAAAACAACTGGAGATGTTTGATTTTTACCGAAATTAGGTGCAATTACAATTAAAATTCGAGGATTGCTTAAAATTCTATTGAGAACATAATTTGTAGGGTATGACAATTAGGGGTGCGATAGAGTAAAAATGATTCAGGGATTCCTAATACACAATCCGGGGCTGCAAAAAATTAATGCATCTTTCAAATTATCAGTCGTTCTATTGTCTCACAAAAATATTTCATCCTGTTTTTTCTATCTTATTTTTTACAGTCTAAAAAGAGCCTCTATTAATATAATGTTTTTCCCGCAGTTCAACTTGTTTTTCCAGTTATAAATGAAGACTGCTTTCTCGATGGGAAAAAACAAGCATTCATCTGCTCCATTGAAAACATCTTTTAAAAACTAGAGCTAATAAAAATGCCAAGGTCTAAACTGAGAATATTACTACAAGGAAGACAGCAGAAAGGTGGAGATTGATTTATTAAATTCGGAAATTTTGAATTTCCGAAAACTTCCACCGAATAAACAGAAAAAATTTCGATTTTCAAGTAATATTCCGGGAAATGAGAATCATTTCATGGAAGCTTCTCAAGTCTTCGAGATGGGATGAGAAATTCCACCGGCCTCTTCCTTTTGATTTTTCTGGCTATCTACCTATCCAATATTTATTCCCCATTTATTCTTCTTCATGGCTGGTTATTGATATTCCACTGGCCTATTTCTTTTTATTTTTCTGACTATTATTCTGATTTGGAACGGATCGAGAGGATCGAGAGTATGACTTCGAAAAGGGACTTCAAAGTACCACCGAGGTCTTCAAAACCACCTGGACAACGATATTCGTTCTTCATCTTCTCATCATCCAATTGCTCCAATCGATGATCACGATGATGACCGAGCTCGTGCGAACTACATCACTCTCCGATTCCGCAAACCGGTTCTACTGTTTCCGGCGACATGAAACAAAGATTCGCTGGCAGTGCTTCTAAAGAATAAAAGAGAAGAGTTTCCGAACCGAAGTCACAGGACGATACTGTTCGATTGCATCCGCAGAACATCATCCGTTTATTGGAAAAAAGTTTGGTGCCGTCTTGTGAATGGGATAAAGTTGGTGTGAAGCTCTACGAAAGGACCAGTCATTCCGGTGAGTTATTCAGTAATTGCTTCATTTCCTATTTTTACAATTTTCAGTGGAAAGAAGGAATTGGAAATAAAAAAGGGCAAGTCTCCCGTCAATGAAGAAGTAAAGATGTTCAAAAGCTTCAGCCATTTGCTATGGTACCGAACTTATAAGGAGGATGAAGCCGGTCGGATGTGTAGTTTTTTAAAAGTTGTTTATATTTTCTGAGATTTTATTTGAAAAAAAAATGTGTTTCTTAATAAATTTCGATTCGAATAGCTTGTGTACTGTTATACATTCGCACCGCTCATCTTATTTATTTGGGGGGGAAGGGATCATTTCAGGAAACATTCACTCTCTGGTTAGGGCATAGGATCGGTCTTGGCTGACCTCGGATCCGCTGTCACCATAAATTATTAGAATGAATTGAAAAGCAGTTTTCAAAAACCAGCGTTCCAATTTCAGAAATCAAAAAATTTTAATTGCATAATCATCGAAGAATCAAATTTAGAACCGAAATTTTTTAAGAACATTATTTTTGGATCGCCTTCTTTGCATTTTTGAAGTGGAAAAACCAAAAGGAAATGAAAAACAGTTTTCAGTAAACGGGCGTTCTCATTTTAAGACGTCTGTTCTAAAATTGAAAGTAAAAATCAAAATTTCAAAAATTGAAGAACCGTTCAGTCCAATTTCTTTGAAATTTAGGTGTTTGAAAACAAAAAAATATATGAATAGCAGTTTTCAAGAAACTGGCGTTTCAATTTCAGAACTTTGGAATTATTGTTCTCAAAATCACGAAAATGTTAGAAGTTAAAGGACAGTTTAGTCCATTTCCTGGAAAATTCGGTGATTGAAAACAAAAAAAAAACATAAATCAGTTTTCAGAAAACAGGCGTTCCGATTCAAAACTTCTCAACTTCAATTCTCAAAATCGTAAAAATTTGAAAAAACAGAACATTTTGAAATTAAAGGACTGTTGTTGATTTTCTGGAAAAGTTGCTGCTTTCCAGGAAAATTTCGGTGATTGAAAACAAAGAACACCAGAAAACCAGTTATCAGAAAACAGGCGTTTCAATTTCAGACTAATTGCGGAATAGTTTAGTCTCAGAATTTTTGAAATTTCATATTCTCAGTCTATCATACTTTCGATCCTCTTTCATTGAAATGTGTATTTTCAGAAGAATATTGGCTGGAGCTTACACCTGGATAGAAAATTGGAAGGGGAAGAGTCGAGCAATGAGACGAACAAGTGAAGCAGCTATCAATATGGATCATTGCAATTGTATTAATCTTGCCGTTTTCAATTTCTCCTGTCCTCCCCGCATTTATTCCCAGTAATTTTTTTATTTATCACCCATTGCTTTGCTTTTTTTTGTATTTTCAAATTGTTTTGAATCCCCTCCCTTTATTTTTGGCACCGCAATAAAATAATTTTTCTAATTTTACGATCTTTCCGAGAAAATTAATTGCGCTTTCTTTATCAATTACTTCCAGGTGAGGTAGAGAAAAAAAAAAAAAAAAAAAAAAGAGAGGTAAGAAAAAAAAAGATTGATGAGAAAAAATATGATGATCCGGGTTTGACCTTTCTTTTTTTTTGAAACTTTTTCTCGACCTTGCTGCGTCTGCCTATTCCGGAGTTTTTTTCCGCACTGTTTTTTTGCTTCTCTGAATGCTGAATGATAAACAATTTTCAGCAAAACGACATTTCAATGGAAACAACCGCATAAAAAAACGGTAAATCTTAACTTCTGCATAATTTTTTCCAGTTGGGCCCACATCATCCAAAATGTCCCCTTTTCTCTGTGTTTCTATTAATATGTCAAAACAATTCTGGAACGCTACACTACGTCAACCAGGATTATAGTTCTACTCTGATCTACGCATGAATGAATAATTTAACGAAAATCTCAGGTGTACGAAAAGAATTAGCAAGTATGCCGGGATTTAGCAAGTGTTCAAAAATTGAATTCTATTCTCACAAGGGAAGTGTTTTCAGACGGGGGGTTGAGAATTTGCTCAAAATTTTAGTACTTATAGTTTGAGACTCCCTCTACACGATGTCAGAAATATCTCGTCCCCGGATTCACCAGGAAGCTTAAAATCTTCGTCTGACATTTTTATACCGATTTCGCGCACTCCCTCCCTCCTCTATCCCCCTCCCTCCTCTACGCCCTCTGCGCCAGAGAAAAATGTCGGCTGTGTGATGTTGTGGTAAGAGGGTGACTCATTAGGAGTGAATATGCTGGTTCGAACCCCGCTGTTGTAAAACTTTTTTTTGCTTTTTTCGAGACGAATTTTTGATACCCAGTTTGGCTCTCTAGACACTATATGACACTTTTTGATGAATTTTCAAAATTTTCAAAGTAGAAAGAAGACTTTATGAGAACTTGATGAAAAATTTAATAATGATCTTTTCGAACGGTTCTTACATTATCCTATAGTTAAAAAACGAAAGTTCTACCCCTCTGAAAACTTTTCAAGTTTACCCTTTTCGAAATGTAGCACTTCTAAATCGATCAAATATAACATTTGAACCTTTTTCTATAGATTCCAGTCCATTTTAAGCAATATTTGAGAAGCTAGTGGTTGTTAAAGTTCTAACGATTACGACTCTACGGAAATTTTTTTGAGCCCAAAGACGAAATTAGGATGTCAATTGTCTGTGCCATATTTCATAATTCTCCCGGTTTTCCTCTTTCACTCAGATCGGCCTCGTGAGGGGCATTTTTCTGAGTCTTTTATGTCTTGCCCTCTAGTTATCATTATATCTGTTCAATAAACAAATTACAAATTACAAATATTGTGAGAACGCTATTTTCATCGTTTCTGAAAAACTGGGACTTTTTTTGGAACTTTTCAAAAAAATTTCAAAAAATCACTTTTGAAGTGTGGGGGACCCCATGGAGATATTTTTCAAAAATTTTCAAAAAAAATTATTTTTTGAAATTGTTCAAAAACTATTCTATATGAAATGTTCAAAAATGAGGTTCGCATTCGAGAACATCATGAAAAACAAGTTTTAAAGCTCGGAAAATGAACGTTTTTGGTCAAAATTTAGCACTGAAAACACTTTGAGAGCCCATATTTCGATTCCTATTGGATCCGGAAATGAGCTATTGCTGAAACCGTTTTCAGCATGTTTGAAATTACCTTTTCACAAATTTTGAGCAAATTCTCAACCCCCGTCTGAAAACACTTCCCTTGTCAGACAGGAAAGAAGTTCTATCTAGGAAGTGAGTAAAAACCCATTATTTTTATTAAAGGGGATCTGGAACAAGGAAACATTGAAATCATTTTTCTAACATTTCCTAAATTATATGTTAAAGAATTGAAAAAACATTTTGAATGTAGTTGGAATGTAGTGAAAACAATTTCAAACAACATTTAGGAAAAACAAAATTTGTCATACGAAATTTCGAAGTTAATCAAAAAATTTTAATCGAAATTGAATCCCCTTGATTTCAGACTACATACATGAATCCTACCAATCTAAACAAAACATACTGCTCGAAAAAGTTTTTGGATTTTTTTTTCGTGTTCCTGATCTAGTACCATAAACGTGTTCTAGATGTCAAATTGAAGGATTAGTTTTTAAGAACACGATTGTGTTCCAAAAAAACTAAAGTTTGCGACCAATTTAGAATGTTTTCAGTTCTAGAACCAAAAAACACAAAACGATCCAGAAGTCGTATCTCTATTGAAAGATCGTAGATGTTTCCGTTTGTATCTAACACTGCCAAAAAACAACCATATGGCGCCTGACATCACCAACTTTTCTAGGAAGATCTCATGCTTGCTTCAACAAAGACATTTTTGTGTTTTTGACATATGACACTGGCCAAAAACAACCATATGGCGCCTGATTTATTGATCTTCAAAAAGAAAAATTTGACTTCGAAGAAAAAGATCACACGAATTATTGTAGGATAGTGGCAAAAAACAACCATATGGCGCCTAAGGTTCAATGATTCTGAAACATTACTTTCTCGGTTTGGTGGGTTTTCTTATTTCATTTCAAAAAAAAGTACACATCATTGGTGTAGATCTTAAAACCTACGTCATATGATGTCTTCTACAGAATTAGAATCATATCTGAAACGAATTTCAGAAAAGGGGGGATTCCTTAAAGGGGAATCCTGACAAAAATTTGATGATCCGGGTTTGACCTTACTTTTTTTTTGAAACTTTTTCTCAACCTTGCTGCGTCTGCCTATTCCGGAGTTTTTTTCCGCACTGTTTTTTTGCTTCTCTGAATGCTGAATGATAAACAATTTTCAGCAAAACGACATTTCAATGGAAACAACCGCATAAAAAAA